AGAAACTTTCCTATCTAAACGAAATGTAATGAAATAATTATTACTTCTTGAGAAGGCTATCGTATGGATTTCAAGCTTGTAATACCAGATTGTGTATTTTACTGTGCTGTTCTGTTTATGTACATGCACCTCTTATTTTTCCATGATTAAAACAAGGGTGTTATGATTATCTGAGTATGATCTTCAATTACAATGTTCGTCGATACAATTTCTCCTTTTCGATCAGAATATACAAAGTACAAATATAATCACTAGTACATGGGTGCCAATAGATTTATTACCGATATAGGCGCTTAGTGCATGAGCAGCTGACTTTTCAAAAGCGTCTGTCTCCAACTGTGTTACTTCATGAGTGAGTTGCAGTGTCAAAAGACTTTGCCTCTTAAGCCTTTAAGACTCGTTTGAGTTTCGTTCTTTTTCATCTATTTCCGTTTTGAGTTTTTCGTTTCTTCCTGTGATCTCTCTAGGTCTTCAATTTCGTCGTCCAGAATTGTTTTAAACCTCAGATCTTCCTCCTTTGTAGACTTGATGCAAATATCTGTGGTTCCTAGTTGAGCTTGAAGCTCTGAAATGACAGGGTTAGCTTTAATAACTCGTGATTTTACACTCGATAATTTGGCTTGCATTTTTCGAGTTCATCGATTAATAGCTGGGAAGCTAACCATGACCGTATAGCTATTGGGAATTTATTTAATCATGTACAGTAGAAAATAAAACAATTTTAATTTCCACCAATGATTTGTTCTGTGCTTAGAGAGAAACTGCGATCGAAATTATACATTTGATGAATTGTGTAAACTCATTTGCTGATTCTAGAACACGAACTGCAATCCACAGCTATTCAATTGTCCAGCTTTCAATGGAAATCTACATAGGGAACAAGATTGAGAGAACTAGAGTTCTTATTTTCTTGTATTAGCAAGAATAATTATGTTTCTACTATTGTTTCAAAACCCTAACAGCCTATTAATACAAGTATAAAGGGACTTGGCCCATCGCTTAACTTAATCGGATCCAATATTTAATTAATCCAATTAATTAAATTTGGTCAATTAATTTATTAATCCAATTAAGTAATTCGGGCCTATTAATAAGTAACTAATCTCCTTTTGTGTGTGATCCATTAGGTTTCCAATCACGATACCTAATGACGTGAATTATTCTTTTGATCTAATCAAAATCGATAAATTAAAACATCCCTTTTAATTTATCACTNNAAACATCCCTTTTAATTTATCACTGATTCACATCCATCGTTCCAGATTGACATTTTACAATGTATCAGAGCAATACATATGACAAGAAATATCATGTGATATGACAAAATCAAACTTATTCGTTTACCGTAAAACTATAATCTTTTCGTCAATATGATCCGATCAATTATGAGATTCGAGATATGGATATATGTTAATCTCAATTATCGATCATATCTTTTATCCCACTGTTAAGTCAATGTAAGTTGAAAACTCATTTTTGACTTATGAGTTCACCTTGACCAATGATTTCATTATCAACTTAATTGAATGAAATGTAGATCATAATCTCTTACTATCTAAGAGTGACCAATCTTCTATTGATCATTCACAACTTTCATATGATTCTTGACATACCCGAATGATGTCGTATTAGCAGCCCTTGGTAGAGCAACATCCAGCATCACCAAAGTATGACTGTCCTCATATAAGACACTATGATGACCTCAAGTCAAAATATAAATTTCACTACCAAACGTTAGAGATTAACCACTGACACTCAAATAATTATCCATGTGGAATGTCCTAGGCGGATCTCCAATGTTTTGTTTTATAACCAAACATCCACGTATTCATTCAAGTGTCACCACACATTACCTTGATTGCTCGTGAGATCAGCTACTTACTATTTGGTTTTCCGCTGCATCCATGTGTCATCATATGATTGGCCCAACTGGACCAATTGCTATTTGAGGTCGATCCGACCATTAATTCAAATTAAAGTGTTGCGCTTTTGATCAAGCGGTCAATTATGAATTTGACATCTACTCTCCCTCTATAAAATGATATTGAAAGCCATCGCAGACGCGATGTGATGGATTCCTCGAAGAAGACATTTCTCTCGTGAAGAAATTTGTTCTGAACAATCGGTTCGTTAATTTAATTTTGTGATTAACAAAATTATTATTTTGTTATCGTTTTTCGTCTTGTTTATTGCAATTATTTTGCAGAATTATAACGAGATACATTTTCAATGTCTGATGGTGGAGCTGTATTTGATCGAGATTACAAGACGAAAACGATTGAAGCTTCTGCTCATGGCGATTGGTCCGACATCTCTCTGACTGTTCCCGGTGTTTTGGACAAATTAGTTTCTGCTACAAAACACCATGTCATGCATATAGATAAGTGTTTGATATCGTATAGAGCCCAATGTCCAATTAATGTGCAGTGAACTGTGAGAGTTCATGTGCATGACAATCGTGTTCAGCAGACTGATTCACGACAAGTTGAATTCGTTTTTCCCGTTACTTATAATGTGAACCTCACTTATTATGGGAGTAGTTGGAGTTCGAGACACGAGAAACAATTTCCTTGGAAATTGTGTTATAGACTGGAGGATTCTAATATTAAACTGGTATGAAATTTTGTAATTTGAAATGAGAACTTAAAATGTGTTCATGCCGTAAGGCAGATGAAATTGAAGGTAGGAGTCCTAGTATATTGATATTGTCAAAACAATTCAGCGACGACGTTGATGTTTATCATGTGGGAACTACTGACTTAAACCTTACATTGAATCGATGTTTAAGTTATATGGATCATCGCCGATTATCTATCGATGCCGTATCTACCATTCCTGGATTAAGTTATCATGACTCCCGGCGATCTATGGCTAGAGTTGGCAACACTACAAATATGACTACTACATTACCTTGTGACGTTAAGCATGAAGACAATCTTAGTCAAACGAGTTCCCAGAACGACGAGTCGTTACTCGGTTTGTTTACTGGCGGACAATTAGTCGATACCGTACAGCATGCGTATGATAAGGGGAAGAGTCAGGGTAGATTAATTAGTGAACTAGATAGTAAGAAATGAATGCAAATTCGTCGTTTTCATAAAATGTACATTTCATTCATTTGTTGTTAATACACGGGTTCTTCACATTCTATTATTATATCTAAGTCAGAAATATATTTTCCTATGATATACTTGAAATGAAAAATTAATCCGTCATTCTTAATTGGATATCGGACGTATTCTACGATATATAGTTGCTCGTCATATACGTGATCCAGACATTTAGATTCAATTCCAGCATAAAATGGAATTGGTTGCCCGTTTACATCTTTTGTGTCATTACATTCCAAGTACTGTATGATGCTCTCTATGGATACCGTTTTCTTGTCATGAAGTGCATATACTTCACTTACGACGTGATCGACTCTTCCTTTACGAAGTGAGCCATGTTATTCTTCATCTTCGTCGAAAGCGAAACAGTCTTTGTCTGGACACCAGAATGGATATATCAGTCTTGTTATAGACATTGCTCGACGAAATCGTGCTTCGTTTCTTACGTAATCTTCCCAGTATAATTGTTTGACATGATACTTCATGTCTTTAGGAAGACTCTTGAAGATAAACCGTCTAAACGCATGTTTCTAAGATCCCATCTTTAACTTACCCAATTCAATAGAAGATATTTCATCATCTGGAAGAGGACTTTTCTTATGACCCTTGCTGTACGTTTAGCTATATATTGCTATCAAAAGTTCAGTACCGAAACTTAGTCAAAACAAAAGATTTGTCCCCTTGAAGCTTGAAGTTCTAATCTACCTCGTTGGAGTCGAATTTTCTCAGCAGGGGAAAAATGGAGATAAAGATAGAATTTGGATTGTAAGAGAGTTTAATTAGGTTAGATTTAATATTATGATAAAATTCTAATTTATTAAAAGTTCTTTCGATGTTAGCTTAGTTGATCTATTTATAGAGGGCTTATCCATTGTGATAGATACTCTTGATTTCCTCTCTTCTTTGATAACCTTTCTTTTCTTGTTACTTTCTTGTTATTGTCAAATTGTCAACTTTCTGCATTGAGAACATTAATGCAAGACTAAAATAATAGGAATTATATACTATTACCACCACTGGATCACACGCCTACAACTGTTGCTCCATCATACATATCCTTTATTACGATTGATATGTCTAAAATAAATTCTTTTTGCCTGCCACCTACACGTTCGTGGGCACTCTATCATAAGAAGAATTTGAAAACTTAAATGAAAGCACTCCTAATCACAATTAATCAGAAAAAACTAATAGCATAGACAGAGAGAACAGATTTGAGAACTTACTTCTGAACCTCTTGCCCAATCCTATAGAACAGAAGCAGTTCGTTTGAGGGGTGTTTAAATAGCACTGGATTCCACATAGGAACATCAAGTTGTTCATCAGCAATGATAGGAGGGTCCCAGGAACCATCCTGTTATTAATTTCAGTATGATAGCTAAAAATAATTATTTTTAGTTTGGGAACTTCAAATGACCAAAAGAGATGGCACAAAGAGATTCTGAGAACTTGATTGCTACAGAGAAGGATATAAATGGAAAGCACTGATCGCACATATGACGCTGAAAAGTCAGCATCATAATCAGGCCACCTTACTAACAAACTTATTTGGCCCCCAAAAAAAGCCAGTTCAGCAAACCTATCAGTGAGCTGGAAGCATGTAAAATTCACAAGAAGTTTTTTCTTCTGAAATTCATATTTGATAAATAAAAAATTTGGAATGAATATAGTAAATTCTGGCAAAGAAATAAACAAAAAAATGTTTTCCTCCTATAAAAACATTAAAGTTGGCAGCATTACAAAGTTAAAACATATAAATCCTTTATGCAAAATAAACCTAATGAAAAGAATATACTGTCACCTTATAAGTCTGCATCCAAATCTTCACGTCAAGTGCCCCCTCTGCTGTACCCCCAAAATAGGCAACCAAAAAGTGATTTTTGTCCAGCTACAGAAAAAACTAAATTAAGTTACAATCTCACTCAATTTTATTGAGTATTAAGTGTACTTGGACATTAACTCGCATTGGAGCACCTCCACAATAGTAGAAGCGTGACAGCTGTTGAAGGGGACTGAATTAGCAACAAAAGTGAACTCCTCAATCAATGGTGCCCAAGGTATAATATCATTCTTCATTTTCAGAAAAGCAGTAGTGTTAACTTTTATACCCCGTACGTCACTGCATTATACTGGCAACAGTTAGAGATAATTATCCATAAAAAGGTGAGACAGAAAGAGAAAGAAAGAAAAGAAGAAATGACTTAATAGCACGTGCAAGTTTTTTGAGTTAGCGTATGTTATTGTTAACATGAAAAATACTAAAAGATACCATGTACGTAGTAAACACCCTGATACCATTGCAAAACTTGGCCCAGTGTAAAAGTTAGGGATTCCAGCCTAAAACCATATGCGTGCTAGATGGAACGTCCATTGGCTCAGAAACTAGCCTATACTCTTTCAGAACCATGTAGAACAAAGCCTTTTAACATGGCAAAACCAGAACAACTTTATAAATTCATTAAATAGATGTAATTTGATTACTAGCTGAATTTGTACGTATTGCCCTGATAAATATACTATTAACTAAAAAAAGTAGAAGACGAGAAATTTTGTCATTGCCATATTCATTTTTAGACATAACGAACTTGGGATATCCAGAGTCAATTTTATTTCATGCAAAAGTGCATTCCATTTCTTGTTCGAACCCCTTATCATCCCAATTATGTGAAAACATTATATGAAGACAAGGTAGATTCTCACTGTAATACTCCTATTAGTTTGCTTTATTTATGTGGTTTAAACATTACAAGGTTGTTCGGGAAATGGTCAATTATCAATCTGCTGTAAATGGGCTATATATAAGTTCAATCTTATATCAAAAAAAAAATCTTTTGGGCAATATATAAAAGGATAAAAAAGACAACCATTTTCGTAGCTGTTAAAGGATAAAATCTCACATCGAATAAAAATAAAAATATAGCCAATTTATAAGAGTTTGGGTTACTCCGTTTGATAAAGTTGGACCTTTTAAAATGGAACAATCTTAACATGGTATCAGAGCACGTTAAACTCCAACGAGCAATTCGATCTAATTAAAACTCGAACAAAATTGAGTACACCGATTTCAAGTTGGGTAGGCATAAATGAGCCACCATCTCACTGGAATAAAATCTCACATCCAATAAGGTGAAAATATATACCAATTTATAACAGTCTGGATTACTCCTAGATAAGATTAACTTTTGAGATGGACCCAAATCTCAACAGTACCTTTTAGAAAGGAAATTGATGGGCTGGAACAAGATATGTCTTCTACTGTTCACGAATTTATCTTTGAAACGTAAACAGCTTCTCAACCACGAAAAACAATCATGTACATGGAAAAACAAAGGAAACGTAAACAGCAACAGTAACAGTAACAAAAGAACCGCAACTAATTTTCGCATTTTACATGAAGAAAAAAAACTAAATTAGTAAACAACTATTACTACCACCGACTGATTGTGTATTCGTATAAAAAACGTCAATATTTTCTCTTAACAGAAAGAGGCTAAAGAAGAAGAAGACGGAGAATATACGAGTATTGCTGACATACAACTGAAAAATACTACCTGCTACGGATTTAAATCCAGATGTGCGTTTGTCCTTGCCTTTATTTTAAACTCCGAACTTGTTTCTCCGCAATTGATTATAAGGTTTACCAATTCTTCAGATTTCATATTGATTATGGTCCTTCTGCCTGGCCTTTACTCTAATCAATGGAAAAATTGCAGCAGCGGTCCCTATATTTTTCAATTTTCGTATACTTTATCATAATCTTCAATTTGTGCCAACAAATGTGCCTAACCTTTTAAAAATATGTAGTTGAAGTCCAAATTGATGGATTTGGCCGTTAATTCACTAACAAAAGTGGAGTTTGACTAATTTTGACCAAATTGAAATGAGTAAAATAGTAAATTTGATATTTTATACATAGAAATAAATAAAATAATTTAAAAACAAGAAATAGAATAAAACAAAATAAAATAAAATAAAGAACAAGAGAAGGAAAAAATCGTCAGCAGCGTCACCCACCTATCGATCGGTACCACCACCAGCACAGCCTCCCCACCACCGCCACCACCGCCAACACAAAATAAAACCAAAATTGATTAAACATATCTCCATCCAAACCCTACCCCTAACCTCCAAAATCAAAATACTACTACGCACATACACCACACCCACCCACCACCATAGCCGCCACAAAATTGAAGAAGCGGGAGAGGGATAACAACAAATTTAAAATTATCCCCTCTTCTAGGTCTCCTCATTTTCTTTATAGTGTCTTCTCTTTCGGCAATAAGCATATCCACTTTGGACATGCTATCCTTAGTGATAAACTTACGAGGTTTGTAGATGATGAAAATCATGTCAAAAGTGATTCTATTTTGTCAGCATTGCTATTTTCTTGGTTAGAAGTTTTTGTTGATCCAACAAATTGGACGAGAGTGGCGGATTTGTAAAGAAATTTGATGGGTCATTTGTGGTGGAGGTATATAGTGGGTTGTTTGTAAAGGGAAGTTCTTGACTTTGAATCGGACCCACCGAATTGAGTAGAGAAATAATCTATGATTGTGATTTGGAGATTTTGCTTTATGTTGCAGGGATGGTGGTGGTCGTGGGCGGTGGTGCATTGGACTGCGATTTTCGATTTTGTGTAGGATGGGGTGGTGGTAAGGTGGGAATGGGATTGAGTTTGTGAAGAAGATGAATAACAATTTTTTTTTCTTTTATTTTTATTTTATTTTAATTATTTTAAGGATAAAATGCAAAGTGACAATCTTACCTCTTTTAATTTGGTCAAATTCTACTATTTTTGGTCGATTGACGATCAAATTCCATCCATTCGGACCCCAACTGTAAATTTTTGAAATGTTATGAAACTTCGTTAGCACAAATTGAAAATTAAGGTAAAGTTTATAAAAATTGAAAAGGTAATGAACCGTTGCTGCAATTTTCCCCTAATCTATAGTATTTTCATTAAGAAGCAACCAAAAAATGGCTTCTCTCCTAAGTGCCCTTAGATTAAGGGTACGTGTCTTATTTAACTAGCATTAACCAAGGGTATAAAGGGTAAACAATTATTTTAATTAAAAAATAACACGAGAAAGAAAAGAAAAACTTATAAAAACAAATAGTCTGTCATAATACCAACATAATAAATAATTGTGAATGAGGCAACATAGCATTTTACACAATTATTTTATTTAAACCTGTTTGGCATTCATTAAATTTATAATACATTTTTCTCTCTTCTTTTTATCAATTCATTTTCTAATGAAATAATATTATACGTAAATCAAAAGCTTTTATTTTTTTTTTAATCACACATTTTTCAAAAAAATACTATTTCAAAAGTATAACATCAAATAATGAGCCGAACAGGAAAAAAGAGCCTTTGACCAAAATATTAGAACTAAAGTAAATTTTAAATATAAAATATATTAATTGCCCAAAATATCCCCAAAGCAAAACAAAAGACAAACCGAATTATCAATACGAAACCTATGTTTCCTTCCTACCATAACCATTGTTCAAGGATTTCCGATCAAGTGCTCATTTTTTCAGTTTCTAGGCAGATGGAGGCTGTTGCTCAAGGCAAACTGGGAACTTCATTTGGGGACAATGTAGTAATAACTCTAATGCAAAGATTGGAATTACGGTAAGTCGAGAATTGAGTTCGTCTCGAACAGTATACCTTGTCCAATGATCCAGATGATCAAGAATGGCTCTTCCAGAGCAAGGATAAAGATATGTGCGTCAAGAAAAAGATTCAGATCCAATGGCAATGCTACATCCTGTTCTAACGTCGGCATTATGGCCTCAATCAAGATGCTTGACGCTAATATTTATGCATTGCCTTACATGGTCCCATTTTGAGTTTCCAGAAGTGGTGGCTACTTTTGTCAAGGGACAAGTTAGATGGGCTTGGAAGTTGTGGTAGTTAGTATACCACCTATATAGCAAAATTTGCTACTGCACTGTGGATGAGGCCTCTGTAGTGCTTCTTCATAGGCCATAGTGAGATGATGATCCGTCGGTATCTAGGAGGGTACATTATGTGTTAACATATGAAAGTGTTAATGAAATAGCTCGTTTGTACAAATGTATATATTATTTTTTTTCACGTGGAACGAGGCAACATACTCCCTCCCTTTCGGTAGTTCGTTTATCAAGGATCTTTTAATTGATGCTATTACATGTGTGTTGACACACAAAAGTGCAGTTCAATTAAAAGGGCCAAA